CGTAGTCGTTAGACCATTGACCTCGCATCCCTACAAAGCCGGGACGGAGCACGCCGGGTTCTCACCGGACCAGGCTCTCACATCACCAAGCGCGAAGCGCCGTGAGATATTCGGCGAGTCGCATAAAGGGTACGCTGCATCCTGCTAAGGGTGTTCGGTATCTTGTGCTAACTTCCTTGCGTACGGATGACAGCTACGTATGACACATTTATTTTCTGGTGCTTTCACTTCCAGAGACTCACGTCTAGAGACTCATTTCTAGAGACTCACTTCCAGAGGCAGCTTGTAAGCACTGTGTAACTGCCTCGAGGGTGCTTGACCAATCTAACACAACGTGGTGCGATCATCCCCTTTGCGCGGAGTGAGGGTTATCGACCCAGCACAACGCAATCTCCTCGACCATCACATTATGGTTACTGTAAAAAAAAAAAAGGCAAAAAAAGGCGGTAACCTGGTTGTCGAGCTCACGAAGCGATCGGCTCGTTTCACAACGAACGGTGTTGCCAAGCGACGAAAACCCAACCCCGATGGCAACGACCGGCGGCGGGGGGGGGGGGGGGGGGGGGGGGGGGGGGGGGGGGGGGGGGGGGGGGGGGGGGGGGGGGGGGGGGGGGGGGGGGGGGGGGGGGGGGGGGGGGGGGGGGGGGGGGGGGGGGGGGGGGGGGGGGGGGGGGGGGGGGGGGGGGGGGGGGGGGGGGGGGGGGGGGGGGGGGGGGGGGGGGGGGGGGGGGGGGGGGGGGGGGGGGGGGGGGGGGGGGGGGGGGGGGGGGGGGGGGGGGGGGGGGGGGGGGGGGGGGGGGGGGGGGGGGGGGGGGGGGGGGGGGGGGGGGGGGGGGGGGGGGGGGGGGGGGGGGGGGGGGGGGGGGGGGGGGGGGGGGGGGGGGGGGGGGGGGGGGGGGGGGGGGGGGGGGGGGGGGGGGGGGGGGGGGGGGGGGGGGGGGGGGGGGGGGGGGGGGGGGGGGGGGGGGGGGGGGGGGGGGGGGGGGGGGGGGGGGGGGGGGGGGGGGGGGGGGGGGGGGGGGGGGGGGGGTACGGTGGGCGAGGGATCAACATCCTCGAGAATCAAATAGTGATGCTGGGCCCCTTCGTCCTCCCACACCTTCTCCAGCGAGCAGCTGCTGTGATGCCGCAACACAGTTCAGGCCACAAAACAGATCTGGGTTCCAAAATAGGACCATGTGAGGGCGTTGTGGTAAACGAGCGTGAACATAGATATGATGGCAGAGCGTAAGGCTGTTCGCTTTGTGCCCCAACGCGCCAATTTTCCCGGAGACGAACACACCGAAATATCCTCCCACCTCTACGGAGGTGGAAGCGTCAACATCACAAACCCTTAGTACTAAAAGCTCACGTTTGTTGTTGTCTTCACATTATTTTTTTTTGCATATTTGTACACCATTTTTGGGTAAGTTAGCCGGTGACCACGAAAATCACGTTTGCACAGAGAAAATCGTGAGTAAAACCCTTAAAAGGCCAAAATAAGAATGACGAGGATTGCAAAAAAACAACAAGGCCGTAAACAAGAACAGAACAATAACAAGGACTAAAATCGCGCACAAACTCACTCTTTTGGCAAGGGGAGCCACGAACTGCCTCTTGAGATCGAGACCGGAAGGCAAGGTCGGGTCTCGGCACGCATCTTGGTACCTTTTCTCCGAGGCGAGCCGCTCACTGATGAACTCGCAGTTGTTCAACAGGATGTTGATGAACCTAGCGCGACGGGGCAAGAAATTCAAGTCAGCACAGTACCGAGCATTGGGGCTAATATAGGGGACGTGCCGCAAACCGTGGTTGCTCCACTCAAGCAGCGTGTGGGCGACCTGGCTTGCAACCTACATGCCGTGGCAACACGCACGCACCCGACCAAGGACCAGGCAAAGAGGGGTGTGCGCCATGGATGTATTGTGTCAAGTATGAAAACAGTTCAAGAGAGAGGAGTATACCGAGATTCATGGAGAGTTCTTTCGTATACGAATGGTGTATTCTACCCCCTTTTGACTGCCTCTCTCTATGTCTGTCTCTCTCTGTCTGTCTGTCTGTCTGTCTCTCTCTCTCGATCTGGGTGCATACCAACTAGAGAACAAGTCCAAACAATGTCCATCTCGAAGAAATCGTACAGTCTGCAGAGATATCGCAACCCATTCGGAGATCACCAGGGTTCTCTCGCCATACACGTTTAACGACTTTCCCTTTCTCCCCGACCGATTTTATTTTTCTTCATCTGCCAGTCTTTCGCCCCTTCTCACTTGTGCAGTCTGCCACCCTTGGCGACACGCTTGTTCGGGATCCTGCACTCCTCCGCCCTGGCCCAGTTTCTCGTCGTCGTCACGTCGGCCTTCGTCCACAGGTCGAACTCCATCTGCAAAACGAAAGGAGAGAAAAAAAAACTACTGTTGAGAACAACTGAGCAACGAAAGAAACCACGAAGATAATTTGACCATGTTTCAGGACGTGGACTGCCGCAAACGGGAGAGGCAGAAAATGAAGAACGGGACGGGAACAACAGAGATAAGCAAGACTCAGAAGGCCACAGAGACACCCCAAACAGACCGGAAGAACGACAGAAAAGGCTGGGGCCTGCAAGACGGATGGGAGTGATCCGGAGTGCTGCGAGCACGTACCTCAACAGGATGGATATTTGCATACCCCCCTGAGATGCAAAACATTTTCTCCCCGATGATAAAAAACAGCGTTCCATCCCTACAATCCGACACGCTCATGGATCAAGAGCACACGACCCTGCACATCTCCAAGAAGGAAAAAACAAGTATGTTCACTCCTTCACAGGAGTCAGTTCGTGCAGACACTCCTGTCTGCTCCGGGTGTTTTACCTTGGTTGCGGCGATGTCGGCCATATCGTTCCCGCTCATGCCGACCGAGTTGTTCTGCTTCGCTTCGGCCCTGATCCGATCAATGGTGCGACAAGGCGGGAAACAAGGTGAATTGATTGAAAACAACATTGAGCCTCGGAGAACAGGAAGCAGCGACTGCTGTGTGGATGGAGGAAAAAACCGAGAGTTGTCAGAAGTGACGACACTTGATGGCCTGATTGTTCAAGAAAAAGACATAACAACAATCACAACGCACACGTTTAACCGCCGCTGCAGCAAGGAGCTGTTTTGTGTGCCAAAAGAAATAAAACAGCATCATCAATATTTCTCCCTCAGATGGGATAATACTGCTGCTGCTGCTGCCGCTGGCGCACTTCCTGCGCAATCCCTGAAATATACTTCCCCAAGAAGTTCGGACGAACGCACAGGCGTGAAAACGTCCATTGCACCACAACCAAGAGGGTGCCAGAACCGGTCGACACGTCGAAGGAAAGCTCTCGGCGGAATCTTTCTACAAACGCCCTTTTCGGCAATGGCCTGGTTGTGAAACAATAGGGCTTTTAACATCGATCGCACAGCTGTGCGTTCACCCGCACTCTTAAGGAATGTGCCTCCCGCTTGAATTGCGCTGGTTGCTCCCAGAGTTTGTTCCGGCGTCATCGTGTAGATATCGCATACGGCGTGGGAACAACGGTAAACAGACGGCGGCTGCACGCATTGCTGCTGCAGCGCCGGCGCTGACAACACAAGGGCATGGCTACATATCGATCCGAGAACTGACGTTATTCATCAACAGCCAACAATACTAAAGCGTACTTCATCTACTGCAATAGGTAGCACGCAGGCGGCCACTGTCTTTCTCACCTCATGACCTCCTTGCTTGCTTTCAGTTGAGCATCCTGGCGAGAACAGAAAACCAAGGGCAAAAAAGCCGGAACGGAGAGGGGGCAACACAAAGTATATTATTTTGGTGGACGGTGCCTCCACACGATCGAAGTCGCCACATCATTCATCACCACGAGCGACAAAATGTTTACCCATTCAACCTACGAACTGAGGCGGGCCGGGTTAGTACTGAGGGACAGGGGGTGGGGGTTTCATCGCCTTGTCCACAGATGACGTCGTGCTTCGAATGCCTTATGACTGTCGGGATGTACTCATCTGTTGATCTCCTCAGTCACTTTGCCATAGGTCGCGCTTTCCTTCGAGACGAACCGCAAGTTCTACTCCTTATTGAGACACAACAGCAGCACCCGCCAACATATCTGGTGCTCTTCACGAGACCACGGGCGGACGGTGGGGAGGGCACACCAACGCCGGGGTCCACCTTTTCCCACGAGGATCATTTCACATGGATCTGAACACCGGTCAGGGTAACGTACTGTAGAGCGGGAAAAGGGGGCACACCCAAAGGATAGGGAAAACGCCAAGCAACATACCTCCTTATCCGCCAGCTCCTTCCATTGGCAAGGGCCTTGCCCAGTAGCCTTTTTTCAGCGTCGGCGAAATGGCCACCGGTGTTGGGAGAGATGATGCCCGATGTCGACGCCATGTAACGCGAGCCCAACCGGGCAGGAATGCACCACGCACGGATAGGGGCGGGGGGGGGAGAGGGGATCTTGGGTGTAAACTGGGTGGCGTGGAGCAAGCTTGCTCAGACCATCTGCTGTGGGCAAGCTGGTTACGAACCACGCACTTTCATTTTTCATGGCTACCAGATACACACCCAAAAGAAGACGGCAACGGCAACACGCCGCATGTTTGCATAGAGCCAATCGCTTCCCGCCTGTGCTCCACCGCGAACATGCGTTCAAGCCTCGTCGACAGATTTGAGAAAGGAGCGTCGAGATTGGAGAGGCCAATAGCTCCAGCTCAACTGCGAGAGCCAGCAAAACGAGCAGGAGCACCCGAGTATGCATACGACCTGTCAATCGACGCCAAGATGGTAACAAACTTCCTAAGGCTACCTCCCGACTGAAAGCAATGGACCAGGCACACACCGAGCTCTGAACAACGGGGGCCGTCGGAACAGAACAATAAATACATAGCCGGCCCGTTCGTCAGAAACACTATTGAGCCCGGCTGTTGCTTAGGCAAAATGTATGTAGGTGTAGCTAAGTTCGTACACCATCTTCCGAATAAATATGACGCTCGATTTCTTGTCAAGACGTTTCTTGTGAGCCGTGGGGCACCGTGTGAAATACCTTGGGGCGGTTCCACGCGCCGGCGTTGGTCGGCGGGGGCACGTACTTCATCTTGCCCCCTCCAGCCGGTGCCGCCGCTCGTGCGGTAGACCCAGCTGCTCCGCCGCCGGTAGCGGGCGGGGGTACGTCATTCCCCTTGGTTGGCTTAGGCTTGCCGCTCGCTGCTGCCGCCCCCCAAGACTGAGACGGGGAATGGCAGGAGCGCATGGACCAAGAGAGAGAGAGAGAGAGCGAAAGAGCGAGAGAGGGAGAGAAAAGGAGAGAGAGAAGACGCTCAGACAAACAAGGAGGATGTGATGTAACATCAACGCGTTTGAATCTTCAACTATAGTGTACATCTCCCTATATATACTTGTAGTCCAAGTGTGGGGCATCAGGCGACGACCCAGCATAAACGCCGAGTGCTCAAATCAAACGAACCCGCAGAATGACCCATCCGGCGCCAATGAATGTTTCTGTCATCTGTCCAAAAAGACGTCGAGTAGACGCAGTCAAGTCTGCTTGCTGCAGCACCTACTAATATTTAGTTTATGTCATGAGCAGCCACGGACAACGGACAGGTTGAGTTGCTGCCACAGCTCTGCCCAGTGCACAAGCATGCATGAATGCATACCGTAAGGTTACGTGTCAGCGCACAGGGGTGCTATCGATTATAATAGCGTGATTTCTCCACAACCAGGAAGATGCGAGCGCCAACTGATACTTCTCAGGAAAGCTCTGGATGAAATATTTCCGAAACCGCCCTTTTCGGCAGTTGGTGACCTCCTGGTTGTGGAGAAAATACGCTTTGAAAATCGTTCGGCATGCTACACAGGCGACTCTATTTTTTTCTGTTTCTTCGTGGGGTCGTGTATGCCGGGTTTTGAGACCACGGGCTCCCAATCTCTCTTTTTTTGAGCTAATGTGAGAAACACTAAACAACAACAGGCGAGAGGCCTCCTCGCACCGGTATCTGCGCGAGAGGTGGACTGGGTACTGCCGTACGTTCTGTGACTAGAGGTGTGCAAAAGGGATACAATGCAAACAACAATGTAAAATCGCTAACATGCTAGTGCAAATACAGGTACACATGGGCTGCTGCCGTCAAACCCGCCTCGGGAGCTACGCTGCTTGTAACCATATAGTCTATGAACACGTTTCTCTGCTGTACGTCTGTACAGAGTTGGTATCTTGAAGCTGAGTAATTGGAGAGTCCGCTAACGGGGACAGGGCGTCGGACGCCACGCTCTTTCTATCTGGACAACAGAAAGAAAGCAACAGCCCAAGAACTCGACAATACTAGACGGCGTGTAAGGCGCTGCTGCGAGATGTGCCATGGATGTTGGCGCAACGATGACATGTTTGGTGTCTCCGCATGCAAGCCTACAAAATTGGCAGATCGGCAGCAAATTTGCTCTTGGGTGTTTTTCAATAGGACAGTTTCGGTGACGTCGTCTGCGCTTACCAGGTTGTTAGAAGATCCTTTCGCCCACGAGTTAGACATTGTATAGCAGAGGTCACTTGAAGCGTCAGAGAGAGGGAGAGGTAGGCGAAGAGCGCGGGATGGGTAAGTGAGGCCTCGCGGAAGCGGCAGCTTGGCGGGGGGGGGGGCAACGCGAGCAGGAAGACGATTGGGAAGGGGGATGCCTGGAACAATTNGTCAGAGAGAGGGAGAGGTAGGCGAAGAGCGCGGGATGGGTAAGTGAGGCCTCGCGGAAGCGGCAGCTTGGCGGGGGGGGGGGCAACGCGAGCAGGAAGACGATTGGGAAGGGGTATGCCTGGAACAATTGTTTGCATCGACGGAGTCCCTGTGTCCACACCAGTTGCTCGTTCCCTCTTGCCGTGCTTGCCTTGCGAAGCACGCCCCCTGCTGCCTGCTTGAGACATTCTGGTGTGACACCACCATGGCTTGGGTCCCGGACGAAAGTGAGCCCCTCCCCCTCAAGCTCTCGCCTTCGCTGGGATTCAACAACCTGACGGCTAGCGTTTCCACCTTCGTGAGTGCAGCATTTTATGCGCTCAATATCTTTTTGCTGGCGCCGTCAAAGATACATGTCGGCAGCAAATACTATAGACTATCCTGCTGACTTTGTACGTGGACGGGTCGGGATACTGCCCACTCAACACACAGGCCTTGCGGCCAGAAGAGACCAGATGTTAGGGAGACGGATACTCCACCGGGTGTGGTAACACAAGTGTGTGAAGAGGAACGTATGTGAGGTAACACCCCCATCTTTCTTTAATGTAATGATCCCCATCATCCGCGCTTCTCAAAGGTTCAAAACAAACAAACACGTGTACCTTGTACAGTCATGGACATCGTCCTGTGGACAGATGTGAGTTGGAAAATCCATTCTTTGGGTGAAGCTGCCTGTAGGTGTGCTGATATCGAACGAAACAGTAGAAGGCGTTGTGGCACCGCCCTATCGCCCCGGTGTTTTTCCCCCTGTTGAGTACCTTCAAACTCCACGAACGCGACTTCTCGCGCATTTTCCCATGATATAGCGCCAGTCTTGGATGACAGGTGCTGGCTTATCTTGACACAGAACAATCGCGAAAACAAGACTAGCGAAAGGTCTTACTGGATCCCGCAGGAGGCGGCCAGTTAACAAAATAGGGCAGACTGGAAGGTTTGTAAGGGGTGGGTTGCGAGCACTATGGAAAATGAAAATGGTGCTCTTGCATGTCTCCAATACAGCCCCTGTATGTCTCCAATAAGCTCTCCCCTATTCGAAATTCTTTGAGTTTCACCGGGCGCTTGCTTGTCCGACTGCATGCTTGTCCCTGTGTGATCTGAACGTGGATGCTAACATATAACTTGAATGAACATCGTGCGCTTCACATCATCTTCCAATCTCGCGAATGCCAGGCCTACATTCACAAGGGCGATGTTCTCATCTACGGACTTGACGGAGTGCTGAGGCAGACTCTGGTCAACGATGGTGGGGTACGGGCTATGGAGGTGAAGATTTTGCGGTTTAGTATTCAATAAAGTTGAACTAGCATGCCTTGACAATATTGAATACCGTAGGAGTGGAGAGATGGCACCAGGGTGCGAAAAAAACGAGACCAGCGTGATTTATTTGTACTTCCGCACCGGGGTCCGGTGCGATCTCGCCGATCCTCAAATCCAAGATTGAGCTACTTCTGGCCTGCCGTAAAGAGGTACATGTGCGCACGTTTCACGTGTGCCCCCCTCACGTGTGAACACAGGTGTCAACGGAGCGCGACCTTCACGTATCTGTGTACGGTCGGCGCGGTTCACGCGGGATCGTCTGTTGTTTTCATCCGATCAGTATGGAAGTTGCAAACCATACACCACCCAAGTACACAACGTACAAGATGCAACCTACCCCCACCTTGGGCAGCAAGTAAATATGTTGTGCTGCTTGCGTACTGGTATTCGTAGATGATTACCAAAACGAACGAGGGAGGCAACCAGAATCCGTACGTACCGGTACCCGAGATGGAAACCACGTCGTTTGCTGTCCTTTTGTCATGCAAAAGCCAAACTCGCATTCAAACCCATGACCATTCGCTGCATGGAAAGCTGCTATGTACCAGCCAGCCCACGTTGTAAATATGTACGGTACGTCGCACATCGTTTGCTTATGAAAACCTACATGGTACCAACACTCAGAGGGGGAGAGACACACCGGTCGATCGGGGAGATGCCACCGGGGTGCGCGCAAACTACACCACTGTAGCACTACAAGTAAGGCTGCTGTCTGGGCGCTGCACCAGTCGGAGAGATCCCACCGGGGTGCCTTGAAAAAAGCTAAATGAGATTATTTATTTGCATTCCCGCACCGGGGTTGGAGAGATCGCACAGGGGTGCGACAAAAAACACGAGGAAAAAGTATTTTACAAATCGATCGCACCCGGTGCCATCTCTCCGACTCTTACGGTACTTTCACGGCCGGCTCCTTGCGAAAGAAAGCTCCATTCGCGAAGGGAAGCACTCGTTGCAGTTGGTCGAAAATTGTGGCGCACAACAAGCATCACCCTAAGTCAGGCCTGGTAAGGCACTGCGTCATTGGCTTGACTTCCTATAAAATATATTGTTCTCCGTGTGCGGATAGCCGGAACTTCCCATGGCTTGTCGATCCCAACCATGAGTCAAGACCCCCCAACCAAGCGCATCCACCACCCCGCCATCACAATTCTTCGTCATAACATGACATCGATGACTGTACAAACTTCTTGCCGCCGTGTTTTACCTCATTGATTGCGTACGCCGGTCGCCACACGGCACACAGAGCAAGGCGTACCTGCGTATTGTGCAGGTGGAGAATATTGGTGTGGGCAATTTCACGGCCGATGGTGTTCTACCACGACGACACCATAGTATGCTGTCTCGTGACTCCTGGTGGCTTGCTTTCTCCCCGTAAACACGTTTATTGCGCGTTTGACATTTCCTGGAGTGCTTGACAACAGGCTAACGTCGTACACGTACATGCATACAACACGCAAGGTGCTCTTGTGCTCAGGCGAAGACTTCGACTTCCTTGTGGTGGCCCTCAACACGGGGGTGCAGGTAATTGCTCTACTCTAATCCAACAAACATCAGTGGTAAAAAGGTGTCTCGGTGTGAGCTCATCTTTTGCTGTGTGTTCTCGAGAAAAATGAAAGCAAAGCGCGGAGAGAATCATATTCGAATACCTCAGGTGGAGAACATAGGATATTTGGAAGGAGAGGCGGTTAAGAGTTGGCTTCAGTTCTGCGTGGACGGAACCCATACACAATACAAGAGCCAACAGGAGAGAGGGTGTGAGTGTTTGAGTCACTCCTGGCGCCAGCGAACGTGCCGCCTGGCTTGTGGCTTGCCGCATGCGACAAACACCTGCCTCGGTAAAATGGCTGTAGGTACCTGTCATTAGTAGGGTGCGCGTCGCGAGCTCGGGACATGGCAACCAGCAGACGTCGTCACAGATAGCCCTGGTAAACGTTCTTTTGATATGTCATCGTTTTATGGACTATGCACGGCAACCTGGGCAGGCGCAAGACGTTCTGAGGCCGCTCTCCTCCAAAGTGTAGGAGCTCCGCGTGTTTCTGTTATTCTCTCGTCACATTCCTTCTTCAAAGATGATTTCGTGCCTTGTGCTTGGCTCAGGGACATCAGTTGAGACTTATTGGTTCGGAGTCGGTTGTGGGGTGAACCTGCATGCGCCCCTTTACCCTCAGATCAATGGTAGCGTTACGTTGGGTGTGCGTCCTCACCATAACACAGCCAGTTCGTCGGCATCCTCCTCGTGGTATCAGATCTGGTCGAGCGACGGGAGACGGCTGATCTACGTCTTCGATGCGAAGACAGCGCCCGGTTCGTCCACGGTCGAAGACGGCGGAACTTTCACTCAGGTAAGGGGAACGGGGCGGCCTTCACTCTCGGTCGATCTTTGTTGAATTGTTTGCTGTTTATCACGTTGTTGTTGTTGCTGTTGTTGTTGTTGTTGTTGTTGTTGCTGTTCGTGATGACGGCATTGTTTGCGTGGTGGTCGTCGTGCTACTATCCTACTCCGATGAGTAAGATCCATGGTGTTTCATCGCGAACAACTGGTTGCCAGGATTGTTACCGATAGTGCAAGAAAGAACGAAAGGAAGATGTAGAGTTGGAGAGGAACAGAGAGCAAAGCACGGTATGTCTGTTGACTGCATTAAGAACGAACAGCCGCTAGTGACCGTTTCTTTGCGGTGGACCTAGACCGCATCGCCTCAAAAGAAAACTTGAAAATTCACAACGAGACCAGGGCATTCCTAGCTCACGCGAGGCTTTTGAGAGAGAACGCCACCCATACAGGTGTGTTTGGTGGTCGTCCATATGCGGTACTGTAAAAAAAGTCCATACTACCATGACGACAAACCACCCAACAGAAGATACGTGTGCAAGACCAACGTTGTCCACCTTGGAATAAAGAACATATAGGACCGCCTAAACAGCTCTCCGGCTTAATCTGTGGGTCTGAATCAAAAGCCCGTGGAGGGCAAACCCCTTCTTGCGCCCATACATGCGTGTCACGCATTCTTGCCTATCGTGCTCCAAACGTCTGAACCCTGACCCAACGAATGTTGCCCGTGTTTATTTCAATCAGGGCATTGCAATGGTCCCGAGAGGGCGGAATTTCATCGTCGGCTGCAGCGACGGAGACGTGTTTGCATTCCAAGCTAAGGTGCAGGATTAAGAGGGTGCATAAAATGCAGGGGATAAGGCTAGGGGGGCGTCCAGTCCACCCCCCCACGGTGTTTGTTTTTTCAAAGTTCCGAGCAAGGTCGAAGGTGCTCAACGGGCCGTATATTATACCGTATTCTTCTTCTCGCAAGAGAAGATCTGGTCAGAGAGATGCTTCAAAGTTGCCCGGGCTTACGAGGAGCGCACAACTAATCAAGATTGTGCACGGCCTTGTCTATCATAGCAACAAATTCAAATAAGAAATCCATCCCTTTCATCGTTTACCGATATATCTTAAATGTTTCCTACTTTCTTCGTCGGTCGATTGCACGAGAGGGTAGACCGGCCCCCAAGGGGATGCGTGCGAGCTGACGGCTACTCTGAGAGGGCACTGCGAACCGATCACGTGCGCGACGGCCGACTCGGAGTACTGCGTCTCCGGAGACGCGTGAGTGCCTCACGTATCGTTAGCGCTAACCTTCCTCTAGCCGTACATGCTGGACGTAGCCCTTACCTGAGCCCTATTTAGTCTAAAACCTGATCCAAGGGGAACCGTTTCGGGCAATGTATATCACGCTATCCCGTGCAAGACTCTGGGGTGATAACGGGGGGAAGGGAACGGAAGTCACAGTGTTGTGGAGGAGCCAGCGACGGCTGTGCCTTCATCACTGCGATTCGTTTCTTCACGAACTGTGGATCCGTTGGGGACTTTGATCTCTGTCTTGCAGGAGATTGATTTGTAGCCTTGTTCTGTTCAAGGTCGCGAGAAACGGAATTGAACTCTTCTCGAGGATGACGGTCAACACCCGAGGTGAGGTTCCGATGTTGTCCTCAAGAGTAAATGGGTCTAAATACCGTACCAAGGCGAAACTCGCTATTGCGGTTGTCCTACGTCGTCTGGTTTGCTTAATGCTCTTCCTCCTCAATCTCTTCCTCCTCCGCCTCCTCCTCCTCCTCCTCCTCCTCCTCCTGCTTCCGCAGGGGCGGCACGATCATGGTGTGGAGTATCGCCAAGCACCTTGAACGGGAATGCTCCTTCGACGGCGACGGGTGAGAATATGTCACAGGCGCTACGGTCAGAGTTAGGGATGGTATACCGTGTAGGGAATTCCACACAGACGCTTGACACGCTAGTGCGACACGGCATATGGGCACTGACACGACCACAACCTGGGGGGATCGATGCTGATGCCTCCTCACACTCAGCAAATATTTCTGGACGTTGTCCAGTAGACCATCCCCTCTTCCGTGTTTTTCAATCAACAGAACCGAATTCCCGACGGATTGTCAATGCCCGGAGGTTGTTCTCATAGTTCGCCACCATGCATACCCCCGAAATCGCACCCTCTTGCCGCCCAGCACCCCCGCTACCGCCCTGTGTGCACGAGACGGCTCAGTGGTGGCCTCGTACTCCACCGGACACCTGCGCGTTTTCGACACCCGCAGCAAGTGAGGATCGACCGAAGCGGTGGGGGAAACGGGGGAGTGCGGAGGACCTTCCCCGAAGCTTCACCTATCATGCGGTTGTAGGCTTTGTGCGCCTCGTCGTTGCGTCGCCGTTGTTGATCATTCCATGTTGGGTGTTGCGTTTGTCACGAAAAACATCTGCACGTTAGGGAGGGAGGGAGATTTCGCGACCCAGCTGAGTTACGTGGGCATCAATGACAACAAACGAGAAACGCTGTGGTCAAAAGACCTACAAGCAGTGCCCAATTTTCGATGACAAAACGACGATGGCCCTCCATTTCTGGACATACCTGCTAGGGAGGGAGGGAGATTTCGCGACCCAGCCGAGTTACGTGGGCATCAATGACAACACACGAGAAACGGTGCGGTCAAAAGACCTACAAGCAGTGCCCAATTTTCGATGACAAAACGACGATGGCCCTCCATTTCTGGACATACCTGCTCCGCGGCACCAGAAACACACCACATCTAGCCGTTATTTCGTCGGTGGCGTCGTTTACACCGCAACGGAGCGGTGGTGCCTTGGCGGGCGCTGGGGGCGAATTCTTTTGTCGCTTGTCGATCGTGATACGAGCGTTAACCAGCACCCGTCGCTCTCGAGAACGTTACCATTTACTACTCTTCCTCGCCACATCTTGACGGCCTTGACGTTTTGCTGTTCGTGCGGGCGGGCGCGGGGGGGCGGGGCTGCCAGAACACTTGCGATCGAGATCGCAGCGCACAGCCGCAACATCAACGCGATGGACCTGCATCCCTCCAGCATGCTGGTGAGACCTGCTATTAGGGCGAGACGAAGGCAAAGCATGGAGAGAAACGGTTGAAACGTTCGTGGGGGGACAATCAATATTTCCCGGCAAGGAGAAACAATTACCCGCGTCGGCAGCCTGCTGTGTGCAGGAACGGTATCTTGTTTTGTGCAGTGCGCGCTCAGACCCCCCTTCAACCAAAAAAGCTGCCGCAGCTGACCGGCTCACCGTCCGGATGAAGAGAAAGAGAGGAGAAAGAACCGTTCGTTGTCAACTCATCCCCGGTAATGCTATCATCGTCTGTTTACGTAGCGTTTATATCTCCCGTTCGTACGTCCTATCGCAGTTGGCTACGGTCGGGGAAGACTTGTTTCTCAACGTGTGGGAGCTACCCAAGCGCGGCCAGGAGGGGCCATCAGGCCAGGCGAGAGAAAGCCCGTGCTTGTTGTTACTGTTGTCGTTGTTGTTGTTGTTGTTGTATGGGGCGTTGCGGCACGAAGTGTTCCTTCGCTACCGCGGGGTGGGAGATGCCGCCATCCTCGCGTGTGCATGCACGCTTCGCCGGCGGGCTTAGCTGCGTTAGGAACGCTACACTGGGAGTTTGTCGAACGGGGGTGCCCCTCTTGCGGGCAAAAAAAGACCTTCCGGCACGTAGTGTTGGGGATAGGGATGTGCCCTTGCTATCCGTGCTGGCTACGAGCGGAGCCTACTGGTGCTGCCACATGGGTTCGGACACCAGGGGGGAACGTAAAGGCTGTTTCCTGGATCATATCGCTTGCTCCACGCCACTCCCCGAAAGGGAGAGCACATCCGAAACCTCAAGTATTTCCGTCATCGCTCAGGCCCTTGGTACGCCCCCTTGATGCTAGCCGAGCAGGGGAGAGTACGGGGTGCGATGTGCACTCCGCGAAGTTCTTGAGCGATTGTTCGAAGGGCAAGGATAACACCATGGTTGGTGCTCAAAGAAACGCTTTTGGCGTGCGTTGCAGCGGCTCGAGCGGACGGAAAAAACTGCGTGCTGTGTACGACAACAACGACCGACCTCTCTTTTTTCTGTGTACGATGCCGGCCAAATACTATAGTGCCCTTTCCACATGGCCAAAAAAACAAAGCTGGGGAGCATGCGAGCGTCGAGCGGACGGAAAAAAACTGCGTGCTGTGTACGACAACAACTACCGACCTCTCTTCTTTCTGTGTACGATGCCGGCCAAATACTATAGTGCCCTTTTCACATGGCCAAAAAAACAAAGTTGGGGAACATGCGAGCGTCGCTGTTGTATCTTGATTTGCTATATATTATGTACATACATCATCACCGTTTTGTGGCTGCGTCCCTACACGCGCATATGAATCGTCGAACTTCGTACCATCAGGTGGGATTGGTGGCTACGTCACGCGTGGACAACCGCCTCTTGACCGGAGTGCAGTTCTTGGTGGACGGCAGCCATCGAATCATCGGCGTCGCTTACGACTGTGACCACTTGCAGATTTGGCACAAGCTCGGTTGATTCATCGCGGCCATTCTAAGGCGTGTTGACCTTCCACTGAGCATGCCCTCTTTACCGCTCGCTGTACTCTAGACTTCTCACCAAACATGTGCAGCTTCTATTGGCCATTCGAAAGGACCAAGACCCGTTTTTTTGACATGGGGAGGGGGGGGAGGGGAGGGCGTACTCTTGTGCTTTGCATGGGGGGGGGAGGGGGGGCAATGGAGGACTTGTAAATGTTTGGAGGCGGGCAGCTTGTTGTCAGAAGCGCAGAGAAGAAAGGTTGACTCAAGCAGACCTTGGTATATTAACGAGTTCGCCGGGCATGCTAGCCCATGCACAGCACAAGGGGGATCGCCCCTCTACCAACATGTACATACCGCCAATGATACACGAAACCCGCTATATATCCGTATATCAGGATCGAGTGCGGGGTACCCCCCACATACTACGTACAGTGGTTTAGGATGTAGATTACGTAAAACTGTAGAACACTTTTGACGCTTTCGGAAGTTACGGCTGTTGCGTTATATGATCATTTTTTTGCTCTCGGAAATAACGCAGTTCTTTCAAGGAGTGAAGCCGTTGGCGGTAGCTTGCTCCTAGAGATAGATGAAGGTTCTGTCGTTGACACGCTTGTCCACGACCACGTTGAGATGGGAAAGTTGCTTGTTATTGCTGAGAGACGATCAGCAAAGGTCTGGGATGAAGTGGGGATCCAACCTCATCTTCTCTGTACGTTTCGCCTACCATTTCTCTTCCTAGTCTATGTGCGTGTATTTATTTTTCCGTATCTCCTCCTCCTTCTTTATGTACAGGTACAGTACAGATGACGCCCCTCTAGTTTCGGCCGAGGCTGGGGTTCTTTTTTTGCTGATCATCCTCTTGTGGGCTACAAATGGCCGCTACGTACTTCCAATGTTAGTTGTGGGCATATCGCCCGCAGGGCGCACGCATTTTTTCGCAAAATAATGTGGCAGGGCGTGGTCCCGTGCTGTCAATGGAGAGCATTAGTCTACGTGCGTGTGAAAGGGATAGGGTGGAACGAGACTTCCACCTCCGATTAAGCACACGTACGACGTTGCTGTAGAAGAAAGGCCGTTTTTTGTCCAACGCTTTATTTGCCTTGGGCCGAGCAAATATTTAACCAAATGTACAAGCAAGGCTGCTCCTAACGTCGGCCCGATGGTATAGTCTATACGGTCAAATCACTATGTACATCAGTCGGCGGCGCCAAAACTGGCAACAAAAACAAACATACTAAACTAACTCCAGCACTTCACACGCTGGTAAAAAGGTCGAACCGCTGTAGACAGCAGTCCTTCCCTACAAAAAATACAGCAGGTTCTTGACCAAAGGGACTACACGAAAGAACTGCACACACACACACACACTTGTACACCACAGGCGCCCAGATGAGCCGAAGATTAACGAATGAACAAAGGCAAGGATCGCAGTAAAGAGGGCTAACGGTGGAGGTGCCACCTATCTATCCAGCTCGTGCGGTTCCCACTCACCCCACACGAGCATACCCTCTCCCCACACCCTATACTCCAAGGTCTCCTCCTTCTCCACCATGAGCTATCTCGCACAGAGGAACCTGTCGTCGTCACTGCCACCTTTTAGTCACGCGCAAGCAAAAGCGGCAAAGACAAACAACGGAAAGTTCACGCGGGAAACAAGGGCGTTGGTTTGTGTGGACTAAGGTCACCTGGGTGGGATTCAGGTCGGCGTTCCAAGCACCGTAGTGCGTGCTAGCATAATGAAATCGGACTACAAACTCCCCAGTCCATGCCCCACCCCCAGGTTATGGTCGCGAAGTTGATAAATACGCACGGAACCAGATATACACCTCAAGATGGCCGTTGAACCCTCAGAACCAGTCAGCTCCCGTCGCCCCCCATGGACATTCGACTCCCTCCGCGTCCCCCCACCCTACATCCGGCCCGCCATCCGACATGTCTGACCCCAGTCGCTGAAGGCATCGCTGTAGTCGGACGCATCGGACTCCCACTCGGGAATGTCATTCCGCGCTTCGTTTTCCTTCTTCTCCTCCTCCTCCTCCTCTTCCCTCCCCTCCTCCTTCGCTTCGGTCCCTCTCGAATCATCCGGCGCAGCTGCCTGCTGACTAGCGGCTGCCTAGCGGCTGCCTGTGCGGCCGCCTGCTGACTCGCGGCGCTTGCCACCAAAAGAGAACGCAGGGCTCCGGCTACGATGGCAGATGTTGCAGGAGCGGAAGCTGTAGCAGGTAAGGAAGCTGTAGCAGGAACGGAACGCGTAGCAGGAACAGTGGACGCAGCAGGAACGCTGGATGTAGCAGCAGCGATCCGAGTCTAAGGTTCCGATGCTCAAATCAGTTCACAGGTAGCCTTGCACACGCATGCCAGCGAGCATGTCCTTCCCGCTTTTCGAAAGCCGCACCTCACGCAGAGAAACTTCTTACCCGGGGCCGGTTTGCACCCACATTTCTCCGTTTTCGTCTTGTTGTCGGTGCCAACGTAAGAATATTCAGACAGCCATAGCACGCAGTTTTCCGCTGTCACGTACCCCGGGCTGTCCCCCCCCCTTTCGGGTCGATCCCCCATCCCCTGCCGTTGAAGTCTCGTACTGGTACCACCTCTAAACAGCCGTCTTGCCAGTACCCAAGCACCTGATGGCCTCGCTCGCTCTGCTGGCGCATGGACTCGAACGCAGGGCACGTTGGCGTAGCCCTCATTGAACCACCCCTGAGGATAAGCAACCGGATGACGTCGACGCAATGTGCGACATCGCCGTCGACCATACGGGGAATCCAGCCGGGCTCCTGTCCACCACGAGCGAAGACAGCTTCATACTAACTATAGAATATGGTCGCCAACAACTGATGCACTCGTCGATCTTGACGCCCCATACACCACCCTCACGCACGAAGATAGACGTCCGAAACACACCCTCCGTCCGCACGCTCTTCAGAGCAAGAGCCCACATGTTTCCGAAAGGTAGACCCGTTGTGGCAGGCAGGAAGTCGCAACCAGCAAGCAGGTACACAAGGACAAAAAGGCGTACCTTCTCGTCGTCGTCGGGAATCCAACCCTGGAAACCGGAGTCCGTCGTGGGCCACGCAGATTCGTTGCCGTCCCTGAGGCCGCTGATGACGGCGAACACCCTGTTTACCCATGTGTACTTCGGGTCACCACCCACAACCTCGTGCACAGTCACTTCAACTGCCCCCTCTCCACTGGCCTTCAGGAACCCCGTACTCATCGCCAGCAAAATGATCATCCATTGGTCCGTGTCCACCGAAGTAACCAGCCAGTTTTCGAAATTCCGTCCGCAGTACTTTTTGGCCCACACGATGAAGTGGACGAGAGACAGCTCGGCCTCGCCGATGTTGGGGCCACGTTCTCGTTGTACCGAACGGTCCGCGCCCCTTCGGTAGTGAAGAAGAGGGTCCTCTTCCGCAACCGTTGGCACTCCACCCTCCTCGGTCCCGTCCCCGCCAGAGCGCACGGTGCTGTTTTCGACGCTGCCGACCGGCGCCAGTATCTCTGGTGAAGTGGCCGGTCCCCCCTGTATGCCCCCCCCGGAGCTGACCGCGGGGTGAGCGACATCAGATGTTCTCAAACCAGCCTCACCTCCGACAACGTAAAACGCCACGACTCCGTTGGGAGTGCAGTCTCCAGTCCACCTCTTGTCGTCGAGTATGTCCGTGGCGAGGTGCGCGGCGATACCATCTCGCGCTGCCTTCTGGTTGTCACGAAGCCATGACTGGTATTGCGACGGGGGGATGGCGTCCGTCGATGTCGGGTCGAACGAGAAAGCTCATCCCCCGATCTTGTCCGTCCTTCCCGACTGCTCGCGTCCTTTGATTGCGGGGACAAGTGGAGCACGGTCATAGCACACCAGGAGCAGATCCGTTCCCATCTGCCACCTCGAATCCAACTCGCTCACGTAGTAGTTGATACCCCCCTCTGCCCCACCCTCCAAGTCCCGTTGCCTCACCCCTTGGTGTATTGACACAGGCAGACCCACTCCGTGGGCATGCACGGTGAAAAACGGCTCGTCGGCGACGGCGTCGGAGCTGTGATCTTGGAGCCACTTCGTCGGGCCTGCGGATTTGTTGGCATGTTTAGCCCCTGTATCGTTATTTGGTCAGCACACGCGATGGACATGGGGGAAGGGATTGGGCAGGGGGGGGGAGAGTGGCGTTGGCGGTGCGAGGGGTTGGTGCGTGGCTTCGCAGTTTTGAAGGTGGTAGTTTTCACCAAAAATAAAAAGTAGGGGCTCTCATGAGTACATTAGAATATCGCTACACGTAGAACGTAGTTCTGGAAAATGAGCAGAAGAAAAAATACAGAACCACGCGGTGCAGGGACGCATATGTATGATTGATCCTATGGAAATAGTATCATGGTGCAAGCAACGTACTAACACCGTTCTGATAGCCGGAGCTGAAGAACACCGACAACGGTCGATCCGCACCGTTAGCTTCGGTATTGCAACAACACAAACATCTTTTTGTCGTCAATCTACTGTCGTGGTAACGATATACCGCTATCGATTAGTGGGTCAAGTGATTACAGTGTTGCAAAAATAAAATGGGTGCCCTCTTTCTCTATCACAACCTCTCTCCCTTCCCCCCTAGCCCCTCCTCTCTCCCCCCTTCATGAGTCCATTGAGATATATCCCTCACCTCCGGTAGCATTTGCCATGCTAAATGGCGTCGATGCTCCAACCCTCGTCACCATGCCCACCACTTGTTCCTCGGACAACGACCCCCCCCCTTCGACCATGTCCCAGATGTTCAGGACCACCGCCTTCATCTCTTGCCCCCCCGCGCAGGCGTTGCCAACTGTATCCTTCAGCTTTGACGACCTTCCCTTGCTCCTCGTCGACTTGTTCTCTGTGATTAAAGCCGGGATGGAGAAGATCTTATTTTTGGTCGCTCCCTTCTTCGTCTTGTCCTTCTTGACGAAGTACAGGATAAACTCTCGCATCTTCTCTGACGCCGTTGCCGGGGCACCGAGAATATCTTGCCACTTTCCCTCTGGAAACACCCTCCCGTCCAAGGCCACGACCTTCCCCTTGCCTATGTCGCCCTCGAATGACGGGCTGGCTCGCAAGCATTGGACTGCTTTCTTGACCGCAGGCGCACGCAGTAAAGCCAGCTCTCGGCATCATTCCCGTTCCGTACGTGGTCCTTCGAGGAATTCCCGCCCAAACTCGAATTCAGCTATCTCTCGAAGCACCGCAGTCGGGGCTAGCTTGTGGATGAAACTCGGAAGTATCCTCTTCGTCAAGGTCTTGTACACACGATTAGCAACCTCCTGCCTCTCATCCAAACCAAGCCGGGCACAAGCATCCTTGCTGAGGGAGACGGAAAATAGCTCGGCCATCACCTTCAGGTATTGGTATCGGTCCTTACCGCTGATGTAGAAAATGGGAGCGATACGGCGAAGTGCGCCAAGCCACAGCATGAAATCTCCCGTGCGCAGCGCTGTCCGGAAGGTCATGTAGGCAGGCAAGTCGTGCAAGAGTAGGAACTGCTCCCGTAGGGCGAAAGTCTTGTGCTCTGCCGCTCGCTTCTTGATCCACGCAACCACCATGCTGTCGGCATCCTCCGCCGTCATATCCTCCCCTTGTGGAAGGCACATATTCTGACATAAAGACATAAGCAGTATTACAAGATATTGATTGAGGTGTGGGGGGCGCCAATCAATGTGACTACGGGGGGGACGGAGGGGTGTGGTATAGATAGGGCTAGCAGCTAAAAAAAAACAAAATGTCTCCGCTTTTGTGCTTCGCTTGTTGGTTCGAGCTTTGATCGAGAAATCTCAAAAGCGTTCAAGCGTGTGATGGGTAACCAGGCTAGCACGGGAGGCACTGGTCGCACACTAGGCCTTCGCGCACAAAAGTGTAGAGAGGCGTACAGCAGTACATGTCGCACCAATGGTGGTGCGTAGCAGCGTCTGTGTGTTGTTGGTGTCATGTGCTCTCTCCGCGGAAAGAGAGAGAGGCCGCTGCTGCTGCTGCTGCTGCTTCTGCTACAACCAAATGTTGATCTCTCCTCTCGCTTCCTCCGCCGAGAGCTAACAGCAGCAGTGTATGGCACACCCTTCTCCCGCCGTCTCGCCCTCGCTGTGGTCTGTGTCTCCCTCTCTCTGTTTGTCCATGTCTGGCTCTGTGTGTGATGTGTGGTGTGCGAGGCTATCTGTCTTGGTTCAAAATCAAACGACGCCTCCTCTCGGTGTTGCAAGGGGCCAGAAACTTCCCTGCTTCAAGTTGGGTACCGACGCTGTGTTCGTGGGTCTGCGAACATTCCTGGGTTCCCACGTTAAATTGACACGAAAATTTTGGACTGAGTGAGATACAGATTGACACCAAAAAAAGTGACGGTTGGCAAATTGACACGAAAAAAGGTAACGGTTGGTAAATTGACACGAAAAAATATTCCGCCGCACGTTGCCTGGCGAAGGGCAGCAGCGGTGTTGGACGTACTCACAGCATCGACAGATTATTGCAAGATTATTGCAAGCAAGACTTCCGAGCAGATAGAGCGGGGAGTTTGGGGGTGCAGCAGTTGCTATGGATTAGATTTGGTGGTACCAACTTTGCCGCATATTTCAGGATTGGGGGTGGGGGTATATGTGCGTCTACAACGGATATGGTGACTAGCTGTGCGTTGTGGTTTCTCACTTGTTTTTGTTTCCTCTTTTTCCTCCTTCCTGTGTGCAATTAAGTCCCTTTTCCCCGGCTATCACGCCACGGCTACCACGCCAATTCCGGCTACCACGCCAATCCCGGCTATCACGCCACCCGGCTATCACGCCTTCCGGACATCCACGTCCTTACTTAGACATATACACCACGACTATCACGTCACCAGGCTTCCACGCCACATCCAGAGATGCCATACCCGAGCTATCACGCTCCATCCCAAAGGAGAAGGCTGTCACGCCCATCATAGTTCCTACACTGCTGTACCGTTGGCGGCTACCGCGCCGCTGGCTCTTTTATTTCCCAACCAAGGGACCCCGCGCGCCAAGGCACCGACGCACAAAGCTACTCAACACGCTAGCGTTCACGATCAAGAGAGTGGCTGCTGTGTCTACGCGCGCAACACGCCGGACGGAGACGAACGACAACCTCCGGGGGGATCATGTCGGGCTGTCCCTTCCCCCGGGGAAGGCATCGCGGACGGAGGAGGAAGTAATTCTTTCTCCGTTAACGATGCACGAGAACCGAGGGGGTGCGCGAGCGGCAGGAGGGGAAGATCAGCGCAACACGATGCGTGAGCTGGGCCATCTCTTGAAGCAGGCCTTCGCGACATCAACTCAGGACCAGGGGCACCGTGCTCATCCAGGCACGTCTAACAACCAGATCTTAGAACTGAGGCAGAGAGAAAAGATAGATGTACCAGTATGGAGTGATGATTTTCTGAAGAGCAGATCGATTGAAGTTGCATTGCGAGTGTTCACGAGTGCATTTGAGGCGTGGCTGGAGAATGAGGGACTTGCTGGTGTGATGAGGGGTTCAGAGGTACCTGTTGGTGCAACTGGTATGGACTTGAACTGGTTGAGGAGCACGTACGGAGAGGAGAGAGTGAAGCAATCGAGGAAGATTTGGACGTTCATGCTTGCTAAGATCACAGCGCAACCCGCACAAGCCCAAATCTTGGCATCAGAATCACCTCAAGCAGGGTACCGCGTGTTTCTCGAGCAATATAGCCAGGACAAGAGTCAGGAGCGACAAACCCTTGACGACGCATGGAACGTAATAGGCCAGAGGCAGGGAGAGAGTCTTATGGACTATTACGGTAGGGCAGTTGCGCTGTGGATGAGACTTCGCTCGTATGGGGATAACCGGGATGAAAAATCTATGTGCAGGCACATTGTCAGGGGATTTCTCCCAAGGTTCGAAAAAACCAAAGACCGTCTTCTGTTTGATACGATGTTGTCGAGGGCAACCATGCAGGAGATGCTGAGGATGGAAGAGCACGAGCTGAGGTACGAGCGGAGAGATGGAGAGCGGAAGGAGGAGATGAGGCACGCCCTCGTCGCTGCCGGCGTGGGCCGGGGCGGCGGGGCGGGGAAACCAGCCGCTGCAGGATCGGAGCAAGGCGGACATCGACCTCAG